AATAATTCATCTAGTCCAGTATACCTAACATGATTCCAACATATAAGTAACACAACATTCTTCACGAGAGAGTGTACGTTCTTTTCATTTGCATTGTGAGTCTTTGAAATGAGCTGTGCATTTCACAGGCTGCAGGTCTCACTTCAGACGAGCCACATTTCAAGTGCTCAGTATCCATGTGTGGCCAATGGCCCTCATAGGACAGTGCAGCTCTGTAGCCCTCCCCAGCAGACAGGAGGCCGGGAACCAGGCTGAGTCCTGAGGGACTGGCCAGAGCAGGGCTCGGAATGCTTGCTGAACAGGTGCCTGGGAGAGTGGACACTAGAATAAATGTCCTGGAATGAGGGGGAGGAGCACGACTTAAAAAAGAAGAGTAGGGAGCTTCTTAGTCCGTTCTGTGCAGAATACCTGAGACTGCGTGACTCCCAGTAATCGGAAATGTATTGCCTCACAGTTCTGGAGGCTGCAAAGTCCGATATCAAGGTGCCGGCCCTGGCGAGGGCCTTCTTGCTGCATCATGACAGGGCTGAAGGCCAGGGGGCAAGAGGGGGCGGGAGGGGGCTGAACTCGCTCTTGTAGAACAGCACCGAACCCACCCAAGGGAGGAGCTCTCATGGCCTAATCACCTCTTAAAGGTTCCAACTCTTAATACCATGCCACTGGCCCTTCAATTTGATCATAAGTTTGGAGGGGACAAACATCCAAACCATGGCAGGAGAAAAGGAGAAATGGATGATCAGTGAATAACATGCCCTGGGGCTCCTGCCCCATTGCCTGCTCCCCTCTCCCTGCACCTGCCCCGACGCCTGCTCCCCTCTCCCTGCACCTGCCCTGCCACCTGCTCCCCTCTCCCTGCACCTGCCCTGCTGTGTGCTCCCCACCCAAGAGCTTCCCTTTCCTTCTCCACTTCTGCTAGGTCGATCCTGATCCTCCTCTCCATGCAGAATTGTGCTTCCTCTCTTGGTTCTTCAACAACCTGCTGTCCCATGACAAGCACTACTTGGTCACCTGGTACATATCCTGGAGCCCATGCTGCGA